AGGACATATACCCTATCTGGCTTCCTACACGTTTAAGCAATGTCATCCACATCTACACTACTATATTTAGTAGTGCACTGTCCTGCTGCCTCCCGGCTGTCAGAGCCTTTCTCTGCAAGAAAAGACTGGTAGTTCAGAGGAGCTTCGACAGGAGACGGTAACGAGGAAAGGCTCCTGCAGCTTCTCGCTGCCCCACTGTCTGTCCCTGTTAGACTGTTTCATTTCGGACTGTTTTCTCTTTAACTGGAGAAGGTAGGCGCCACAAATCTTAAGGTTTTTGTGCCACCGCTCACTCTGGTCATGTTAGTAAAGTTGTAAGTGGAATTTAAGTGATGTAGTGGCCCAGAAGGGATGGATGCATTTCCCACTAAGGTCCCGATCCTGCAGTGAGTTTCACGCAAGCTCCAGATCCATCCTTTTAGTGCTTCTTACAGGATTCGGGCTCTAAATGAAGGCTTCCCAGGGCTTTTTAAAGTCACAGTTCAACAATAGATAGTTTATACACTCATCATATCCTTGTTACAAACCTCTGTACCATTAACTTTCTTTACTGCTGCTGCACAAAGAACTTAATTTAAGTTCAATTTTAAGAATTTAAAATTTATGTACCAGACCTTCTTATTGATTAAGTGGAGTTATGCTAACAAAGAACTTGGCCCTTTGTCTTTTCATCTACTTTTCCTCTTTATTAGCTTCAAATCCAGAAGCTGTAATTTGCCCCATTTACTCCATTAAAAATAATGCTTCTGCAGTGGAAGCGAGTTAACTGGTAACTCCTTAAGTCTTTTTCCTCTAGCTCATGTATTGCTCCCTAATCCATCTGGCTTCTAAGGCTCTTGTATAGAAAGGGATATGGGCTTAAGCAGCAGCCTGCCGACCCAAGCATCTCTCATTTTCTCTGCTTCAGTGCCACTGAAATCTGCCACAAAGAAGTCTAGACCCATGGAGAGACTCCCTTATCCACACCCAAAGTAGTAGCTAGCCTTCTGGTAAATGAAAAGACAGGGTGGAAAGGTCTCCAGGGAAAAGGGAAGTATATAAACCAAGAAAGAGCCCAAAGGAGTATAGAGTTATCTGAAATTTCCCAGGTTTAAGTTTTTTGTGGATATTTTGAGTTTCAATGAGAAAACTGGAGTGGATTTTTTCATACATATTTTTTACCGAAAATTAATCTTATTTTCTATCCTCTGTAGATATATTCAGTTTTTAAAAAATTTTGATGAAAAATTAAATTCAAATTTCAACAAGGTAAAAAGGAGCAAACTTTGGCTGAAAATGTTTGCATTTTCCCCCAGATTGAAATAAAATTAATATATAAATAAATCGATGTATAATTTTTAGTTTTCAATTTTTCCCCCAAATATATTTCTTTAATTTACACGCAGTAATTCAAGTTTCTTACTTCAATACTAAAACAAAATACTGTACTTTGATTTCCACAATAAAAATGCACAGAATTTTATCCGCTAGGATAGCTGTTTTGTTTTGGTCATTTTGTTTATTTTTCAACTTCATTTAATTCTGTAAGGTTTGAGCAAAAAGGCTTCAGATTTTGCAATAGAAAATTCACACTTTTTCTGAAAACAAGCAAAGCAACTTTCTGTCTGCACATTAATTGTTTCAGGAAGTTATGAGCATCTCAAACCAGGAGTTTATAATGGGAGGTTGGGATTTTGAAAACAGCCTAAGGAAGTTATACACACAAATCCCTTTGAGATGCAGTGAGAGTTGGACTTCTACTTTTCCTAAACTCCTATTTTTGCAACCAAAACTGTACTTCAGTGGGTAACACTAGTGAAAGGTATAAAAATAGCAGACAGTTTTTTGCTTGCTAAGGTTGACAGAGTTCTGTTGGCTAAGTGTAAGGAAAAGATAAAATAATTTGCTTAAAATCAGGACATGTTCAGATGTGAGTCCAGGGTTTTGTTTTAGGCATATATTCACAGAAAAAAATACAAGTGTCACAATTTTTTTCACACTGAAAAGATTTTTGTTTAAGAATTTCCTTGGAAATAGAAAGGATAATTCTGTTTTAATATATAACCTTGTTATGTTGGTGGGTGATCTTAATGGAAGAAAAGATTTCTCTCTTTCTCTTGCTCCCTTTTTAAAAAAACTAATAGAACTAATTAAGGTAAAGCTAAAGGAATTGAATTCAAAGTTTGTATTGCACATGTAAACTAATCTTTTTACAATGGCATCTTTCAATAGCTCTGTAAGAATACCATTCATGCCCTGTCCTATCTAGTAAATCCTCCCCAGAAAAGGAACAAAATGAAGGATTGTTATGAGCAAGCACTAAAGACTTTGAAGGAAGGGGTTCTATTCACACTTGTTGTTTGTCTACTAATTCATTAACATTTAAAAATACTGTATAATATCCTAGTTTAAAAAAAAGTCCAGTAGCAGTCATAATAGGTGTGTCAGCTGTACTTCAGGGAAAGAATACCCTTGACAGGGTTAGGATCAAGTTTTTAAGTGAAAATACAATAGAACTCCAAGGAGCAAAGAATTGTTGAATAAATGCAGCGTAATCTCAAGTATTCTTATACGCCAAGTGCTGAAATGTAGTGCATCTGTGAACACGCTGAAGTGAAAAAAAACATCAGTTCAGTAGTCAGTGATTTTGTATAGCTCAGGCAAAATGGCTCAGAAGCTGCCACTGCATTTAGAGAGAGCTTTCTGCAGGTCCTGAAATATTAATACCCAAGGTTTAATGTAGTAGAAAACAAAAGATTATTTTGTGTCAAGCAAAAGTAGAAAATTCCTGTGAATTGTAGAATATCAAAACACCATGCATCCTCTCAATCCCTTCCTAGCCCCCAGAGTATGAAAAGAGGATGTAATGTGGTGGTTGTCACCCAAAATGTGTAACTGCTGCATCTTCCTGTTTTTGTGATTAAAGTGTTAAAGCCGCCACAGAATTTTCTTCTCCTGTGTAGGACTGGTTAATCTGGGCTTCATTTACCATGTGTTTTGGTATTAGGAAAAAAATCAAGTGATAATCATTCTATTTAGTAATTTTGTATGAGCCATTGACAGAATTAAGATAGATGCTTGTCTTTTTTATTTATTTTTTTTAACATGGAAATGGGATTTGTAGTGCAAGTGGGATTACCGGTAGTTAGGTCTCAGGTTGTATTCCTCCCCCTCTATCTCCCTTTACTTTTTGCAATGTAAAAAGTATTCTCTGTCTGCATCTATGTGTTTGTCATTTTCAGGATTAGGGCACAATTGTGAACTGAGTCAGGCTAATGTAAACCAGGTGCACCAACATTTTCAATAGAGTTGCTACCAATTGACGCTGGTATAACTTACCTCAGAATCTGTCACTTGCATGTCAGCAGTGGTTTTAATGCAAATGCATTCAGGCTGTTAGCAGTTTTTGGGCTCATTCGTCAGATATTGCAACTGAGATGTTTAAAAAAAAATAAGGTAATTTTGCCTTCTTTTGGCAGCCTGTTCTACAAGCAGACTAACCCATTTTACACAAGTTGCCTTTGTTTACTGTGACTGACTGAGTGACAGCCTTGTACCCAGTGGATTTCTGTTTGTGTTCAGGAACTAATTGTATTTGATGTGGAGAGGTTGGTCTTGACCCCAGTGCTTCTTCCTGCCAAAGCAGCGGTTTCTGATTTTAATCGAAACCCCAAGGCCATTTGAAGTGTAGCCAAAAAGCACCTTGCAAGCTGAACCTTATCTAATTATGCGATGTATATAAACTCCGGAAGCATAAATCTTAGTCATTGGAGCAGTATGTTTTTATAAGATTCACTGGTCCAGTGACAGCCAAAGTGAGTGAGAACAAGATTGATCTCACAGTGCTTTTATTGACAGTACGCCACACATCATGAAGTTTTTAGGCTCATTAAGGAAATTCCATAAATATCTTTGGTTAGTAAGAGCAAAGTAACTGGCTCCTTCACAAATGTGTTTCTGAAATCCCTGCCCAGGGCCTGTATCATAAAAATAAAAAGAATAAATTAAAAACAACAACAACAGTGGAATGCGGTCAGTGATGAAGAAAGGCTTTGAATGGGACTGCCTGCTCCTTTCTGCAGCCATGCATGTAACAGCACGGGAACTAAAGATAGTCGAGGTGCTAAATGAAGAGCTGTGAAAGTGAGTCATGCTGTAAATATTGGGAGTAATCCCCCTTCTACACTTTCTGTCATTATAAAAATCGCCTGGATGTTTGCTCTCTTCTGTGAAGGGTTGAAAACCAGTGTTGGCTGCCTTTCTTTCGCCAAGGCACAGATTTCTAGGATGACATACCTACAGCTCCCTATTAAAATGTGCTATTAACGATACTAATGAGTTTTTTCCAAGTGATGTAAAAGTAGCCATCCGTGTAAGCGTTGCCTTTATGAAGATGAAGTCACTGAAAGCTTGCCAAGAGCACATGGGATTCTGTGCCAACAGTGCAGCTATTGGATACTCTAGCTTAGAGAAGGGAAGAACATGCTGATTTCCTCCCTTAGGGAGAAAGAGCCAAATTAATTCTGCCTTGCCAGAAGGGAGATATGCCATTTCTGGGCATGTTAGATTCAGAACCGCCCTGCTAATCACAGTGGGTGCCGGTTCCACTCCATCTCCAAAATTGGCACTGTCAGACTATCGGCTGCCATTCCTTTAAGTGGTCGTGGAATTACACAGTTGTGTTCTGTTTACGGTGCTGTATGAGTGTGTGCAGGTGGGAAGGGGGAGAGACATACAAGTCCATGTATAATACAAAGATGAAGAAGCTTTTCCAGTAGAGTTGGCAGGGATATGTGCTTATAGGTGTTGTTAAAAGAGCCCTTGTTTGAATTAGAAATTGATATCTCAAGGTAGGGCTAGCAACTAAGAGTTTGTTAGTTAGTTAACGTCTCACCTGGGACTATATGGACGTGGTTTGTTCTTCCTCTAAAATGTCTCCTGCCTAGATTTTGACTAAACGAGAGCATTTCACTATCACACCCTGGGCCAATAACACTCTCCATTCCCTTCTTTCCTTCTAGCCTGCAAAATTGGATACTACAAAGCTCTCTCCACAGACGTTTCCTGTGCCAAGTGCCCGTCCCACAGCTACTCCATCTGGGAGGGCTCTACTTCCTGCACATGTGATCGGGGCTTTTTCCGAGCTGAAAATGATGCTGCCTCCATGCCCTGCACTCGTAAGTTGGACTCTCTTATTTATTTATTCATTCTGCCTCAATGATTTGTATGGAAAAAATGGTCCTTTGAGATGCACCTCCCACTTGGAGAAGTTTGCAGGAGCAGCGTTCAGTATCAGTTCAGCGTTCCTCTTCAACCAAGTAAGCATAATAAGTCAGAAGTGAGTCTCTTCCCAACATGAAACATAACATGAAATGTGTAAATAAATGAGTGTTTAAACCATTTGCTGTAAAAGTAAATAGCTCAGCAATAATTATCAGAGGTTTGGCCTCTTATCAGTGGCAGACACAGGATTGGAACCTCTTCCTCAGGAGTCCCAGTGTAGGGCAGTACATCTGGACTACACTGCCTCTTCGGCTGCAAAGCCTTCATGTTAATGCTGTATTTGTTTACAGTTACTAGGCAGAATGTTGACTAGCTTAAAATGTATAGCATGTCTCCTTAAGGATGGCATTAGCACTCTGAAATACCAGGATGCTTGGTTTATTGTGCTGCTTATACGTACATGCTTTCTAAATGCAAAGCTGCAATCAGTAAATACTCAAGTGGCTCCAATTTGTGAGGAAACAGGAGATTATATTTTAATTCCACAAGGATGTTTTTGTCAGGGAGACTGTCATAGGGTGAGACTCACCACCATGGTGCCTCTTGCTGGTAGCACTGGGAATTAGCTCTTGCCAGCCTGTAAGATGCCTCCCTGTGGCTGTTGTCTCTGCTGTCGCTCCAGTCTTCCGTTCTGGACCCACGTCACTCCCAGACTGTGATGACTCTTCAGGACACTGCCCTCTGGCAGTGCTCACTACAAGTTGTCTCTCAGCTCCCTTTGGGGCGGGTGGGGGGGGACAGTTTGTCAGCAGTCTTGTGTCTCTGTCCTCTGGGGTCTTCCCCTCCCCCAATTCCTCTATACCCACCTTGCCTCATTCACCCACTGCTAGTCTTCATCTAGCCCCTTACCTCGGGGCAAACTGCAGTCTGAAATGGCCACTCCTCATTGGCAAGGGGGTGTGGGCCTGCTGCCTTTTCCAATCACTGGCTGTTTCCCTGCAAGCTTAGTACACTCAGGCCTTGTCCCAGGCCCTGAAGCCTGGGAGCGAGGTCCGGTCTTTTCCCAAAATTGTTCTCTCTCAGGAAACCTCCAGCTTCCCTGACAACCAGGTCCCTCCTGCTCCCCAACTAGAGCAGTAGTGTCTTCCCCAGGGCTGCGTTTTAGCCTTAAAGGGACAGTGGGGGCAGACACCCTTAGTCTCTGTGACGGGGTATGTCTAGACTATATCCCTCTGTCGCCAGAGGGATGAAAAATAGACAAATTGCAATGAAGTGGGGATTTAAATCTCCTGTGCTTCATTTGAATAAAAATGTCCACCGCATTTTGCCGAGTCAGCAGTTTGTTGGCAAAAAGCGACAAAGACGGGGATCGGGTGACAAAGCCTTTGTCGGCTGATCCCTAACGCCTTGTAAAATGAGGTTTACAGTATCGGCTGACAAAGGCTATCTTTGTTAGCTGATCCCCGTCTTGACAGCTGCTTTTTGCTGACACACTGCTGACTCGGCAAAACGTGGCGGACATTTTTATTCAAATGACGCGCGGGAGATTTGCAATGTCGGTATGTCTAATTTACATCCCTCTGGTGACAGAGGGATGTAGTCTAGACATACCCTAAGGAAGATGGAACAATGAGCATGCCTACACTGATAAGTATCAATCCAGGTATGTGTTAGTGGGTCATGCTGCCTATGAGGTAGAACTTACACCATTCCTCGGCCACATATTTTGATCATAAAGTTTCTTCTGTAGGAATATAACATTTTGAATCAATAAACATAAAGGCTATATTTTGCTGGGGTCTTAGGGTCAATTTATGTACAGCTCCCATTGAAGGCTATGGGACTGCTTTTGGAGTCAAAATTGGGTGCGCGCACGTGTGTGTGTGTGCGCGAGAGAGCGAGAGAGAGCTTTTGTTTTATTTTATTAGTTTTTATTGTAATCCAAATTTCTTATGGAGAGATGAGAGGAAATAATATTTTGTCCATGGCTGTTACCGTATCCCTTTAAGTTCCAGCCTTTCCCTTCCCATAACTGCACCTCCAAGCACCATTGTTATACCAGCTAAAGTTTCTAATGAATGACGTCCTGACCAAAAATGAAACTATCAAACAAAGGTTTGAGGTGAGGAGACATGTGTAAGTGACCAAAGTGCAAAGAGAGCGTTCCAGTGAGTAATATGGTTTAGTGGGAGGGTACAGTTCTTTCTTGTGAAGCATATTCTGGCAGATTATGTGTTTGGACTAGGGTCTATGTTTGCTATGTTTAATCACTGCCTGTGATGTTCTGACTAGCTTATGAATAGTGGGGTGGATAGTTGGTCACAACTGCAGTCATTGTTCTCAGGATTACCCCCAAGTTTATAGCTTAATCCCAAAAGAGTGGAGCTGAAGAAATGAGGACACAGTCTTGTTCCCATTCCTCACTCTCGCAAGTGAGAACACTGGGCCTGCAGAGCCAAGAAGGCTGCACAGTCGTCCCACTAGCCCTGGAACATTGGGGAAGAATGATGGCTAAGCTCTGAGTTCTTCCTAGGGCAGTGTGGCTTTGGGTATGTCTACACTACATGGCTCCGTCGATGGAACCATGTAGATGAGCTTTGTAGATATAGCAAAATGAAGCGGCGATTTAAATAATCACCACTTCATTTACATCAAAATGGCTGCCGCGCTGGATGCTTGGCGGCCCACATCAAAAGCCTTTGTCAACCGCCCCGATAAACCTCATCCCATGAAGCATAAAGGGGTGGTCGACAAAGGCTTTTGATGTGGGCCGCCAAGCATCCAGCGCGGCAGCCATTTTGATGTAAATGAAGTGGCGATTATTTAAATCGCCACTTCATTTTGCTATGGTCCCAGGCATGAGGCACATGGGTGACCCCTACCCCGGGCGCACGGCATGGACAGCCCCTGCCTTGGACGCGCGGCACATGCCAGTGCCGGCCCCTGGCGCGAGGCTCATGGGCGGCCCCTGCCCCGGGCGCCCAGCAATCCCAAAAGATTGGGGACCACTGCACTAGGAAGTAATTACTTTGAATGGCCTTGGGGAGGAACTATTCTGAAATAGCGGTAGTGGCAAAATAGCAGTTTTGGAAGAGGTGTTATTCCGAAGCAGAATGAGGTTTACAGAAGTTGGAATAATTATTATTTTGCATTGTTATTTCAGAATAATGGCCTTTATTCCGAAGTAACACTGCTGTGTAGGTTTACGTATATGCTCTGTAAGGGTAAGTAACCCCTTTGGAAGAACTACCTCTCTTTGCCTGCCTTTTCTTCACAAGATATGGGGAAAGAGAGGAACATAAGCATCAGAAGTTTGGGGTTTTTTTTCAGACTGATTTCAGACACTAATCAGTTCTTACCAGTTGGTTAAACCAGGTGACAAACCCAATTCACTGGTGCTGACAGCCATAATAATCAGGCACCATCTTTGTTCATTATGCTCTCTTTAAACCAGGTATTCTCATTCAGCCCTGCATTTAGTAATCGCTCAGTGTGACTGCACACTAATGAAGAAATAAAACACAGTATCTGAGATCCATTCTTCTAGCAAAAAGATAGACTATGCTCCAGTGGCTTGTAAAATCAGTTTCCTGTTCACTTGGAGAGCTATTAGACCAGGTGAACAAAAGTAGTGTTCGGTAATTTGGAGGTAAACACCTGAAATGGACTGTTGATTAAGCTTTTTTTAAACTATGTATTATTATTTCTAACCCTTTTTTTGAGATGAAGAACTTGAGTCTTCTCTGGACTCTTTTCTATAGAGACTTGACTCTTGGGCATCAGTTTCTTTCAGTAATATATTGGCTACTCTTGTGTCACTTGTATCTTACTCTTTGTAGGCTTCAGGAAGAAGACTCCTATAGCTTTCCATTAGCCTGATTGTGCTTATGAATGAGAGGGAATTAGAGTTCTCTTCCTCCCTTTCCTTTTATACAGTTTTTGTGTCAATGAAATTGCACAAGCTGAGCCAAATGTGTTCCCCAGAGCTTGGAATATTCTGACACCTCCCCTCCGAAGCAGAGGTTTGATGAGGAGTATTTTACATGTTTTGTCCTCTGTTAAGCTATACAAACCACTTTTAACTCGTGTACATGTCAGTGTTACCCCATTTAAGTAAATGGCCCAAATTCAACTCTTTAGTTACCGTGGTAGAAATCTAGTATTGCTCTATGATGTTGGCAGTTACTGCTAGGATTACCAGATTTTTTTTAAAAATATCGGACACACTTGATCTCAGATGGGGGGGCGGGGCAGGGCTGGCTGGGAGAGATCG